TTTGTACAATGTATTCCAGCTAAAGCTGATTTATTTGGTTTTACTTATTTGCCTATACCATTAAAAAAGCATGGCATTATAAAAAGGCTCAATATAGATATATGAAGGCATATATAATGTTTTATTTATCAGAAAGTCATATGGAAAGTATTGTATATTTAATTTATTAATTTTTTTAATTATGGGTATTTTATATTTAATCTATACAAAGGCTCATTATAGATATATGAAGACATATAAAATGTTTTATTTATCATAAGTCATATAGAAGGTATTGTATATTTAATCTATAAAAAAGTTTTATTGTAGGTCTCATTTGTCTTTTGATAAATGTTACTAAAGCAAAATGAACTAGTAGTTGTAGTTATTTGATTTTTCATTTATTAGGGGGTTTCATTTGGCCCCAAATTGGCTTGGAATGACCCTAATAACATTTAGTGAGTTTTGATTTTTCGCTTTAAGGAATTATATCCAATTAAGATGACACTTACACTCCGTTCATGAGTTGTAGCAAATAAAAGAAAGAGAAGAGAAAAGAAATTAAGGAGAGAAAAGAAAGGAAAATTAATTTGTTTTTTTTTGTGTTCTCAAGTTTGAGAGAAGTGGAATGAAAGTTAAACATTTTTGTTCTTTCTCTCCAAATCCTTCCAAATCAAAATGAAAGTAAGGAAGAAAAGTGATAATTTAATTTCCTTCAACTTCTTTCTTTTAATAAAACTCAGGAACACTAATTTTTTTTTTACTTTCCTCTCTTTTCCATTAATTTACTTTTGTTTCTCTCTTTAAATTGAACTCGGAAATGGAGTGTAAGGGTTCATTAAAAATTTCATGATGAAATAAAAATGAAATCAAAGTTTGTTGTACAAAAAAATAGAAAGATAAAGTTTTATAAGTGAATCAGTTTGATTTAAAAGGAAATCATAAACGAAAATGAAATCGATTAAAAGTATATCTCACAAATCACAAAATTGTGACTTTTTTTTATATCTACGAGTCATGAACTTTTCTATTATTATTAATATGTATCATTTTATTTTTTATTTTTTGATTTTGAGATAATTATTGTAATATATTTTATTTATTTATTTATTATGTTTTTTATAGTGGATTGTATATATATAAGTGACGTTAAGGATGATTATATTATTTTGTTCAATTTTTGGATGAAAAGATTATTAATACATTGTATCTATCATATTTGTAATTAGCAGTTTATATCTTAGTTTTTACATATTTATATTAGATTAAAATTTTACCTTCATATATATATATGACAATAACATTTTACCATACAATTTAATTTGTACACGAAGCAGGCATATACGTAGTTTAATATAGTCGTCGTCATTTAAAATATATCTTAAGTTCTTTAACACTTATACTATATCTGTTTTATTGGCACATGTGGCAAGGTAAAGATGAAATGACTAATTTTTATGTTTAAACAGCAAATCTAATTTTTTCTTAAGTTAACATGTAATTTGACTTATGTCAAATGCTTTAAAAACCGGTTTGAATCGGCCGGTCGAACTGGGAACCGAAGAAGAGAACATTCAACTAGCTACGGTTTTATATTTATTTCTGAACCAAAATGTAGGGATGAGATTTAGAACCGGAAAACCGGACTGGAACCAGAACCGTTAGAACCGGAATATATGAAACTGGTTCCGGTTCCGGGTTTAAAAATTGGTTTTATCCGGGTTCCGGGTAATTCGGGTTTGGATACATCGGGTCCGGGTAAACTGGATCTAAAAACCGGAACTGTTGTTTGGAATCGGAACCACTTTTAGGGCTGGAACCGGTTTTTTTGAAACATTTAAAAGATGTATATATCTCATGTGTTTCAACTCCGATTGACATGCGGTTTTTCCAATATGTAATTTAGAGTTTGTACATGATTTTAGACTATAAATTTGCCATTTTTAGTTTTATATTCATTGACTTATAGTCCCCCAAAATCGAGATATTAAAGCTGGAAGTTTTTAGTTTTTTTGGTTTTTTTGTATTCGGTGAAAGTTTTAAAACATGCATATCTAATTCGTTTGAAGTCGGATTGATATGTGGTTTTTTCCAACTTTTAGTTTATAGTTTGTACATGAGTTTAGACTATAATTTTGTCATTTTTTGTTTAATATTTAATGATTTACAATCCTCCGAAGTCGGAATATCAAAACTGAAAATTTTCAACTTTTTAGCTTTTTTTTTTTTTATTTTTTTATTTTTTTTTTTACTTTGTATTTTGTGAAAATATAGACACATGCATATCTCATTCATTTAAAGTCGGATTGACATGTGGTTTTTTCCAGAGTGTATTTTAGAGTTTGATCATGATTTTAGACTATAATTTTGTTAATTTTGATTTCATATTAAATGAGTTATAGTCCCCCATAGTCGGGATATCAATATGAATTTTTTTAAAGTTCAACCCATTAACTAGTAAGTAATTAGCAAAAAATTCCGGTTTTTCCGGTTCTAAACCCACTTTATCCAGTTTCAAGCTACCCACTTTGATGTTTCCGGGTTTTTCGGGTCTAGGCCACTTTACCCGGTACCATATTCGGAACCGAACCAGAACCGGTTCCTACATACCGATCCGATTTCCGGTTCTTCAAAATCCCATTAACCGGTTCAGGGTTTTCCGGGTCCGGGTCCATCCGGTCCGGGTTTGGACCCATTTTCATCACTACCAGAACGAACCAACCAGTTTTTGTAAAAAACCAGTTGAATCGGTTAATTTGGATAAAAACATATGGAAATGAAACATTTTTGCATAATAAACATTGATAATTTTTTTCATATTTAATTTGGAATTTTCGAAAAAAAAAACATATTAAACTTTAAGAAGCTTTTGTATTCATTTAAAACTATAATTTATTTCAGTTTATACTTTATTTTCTTTTTAATATACAAAGAGTGATGTAAAACTAATCGTTATATATGTTTTTTAATGTGTTTGTATAGATCTATAACTTGTTTTTATGTATCTTTTTAATGTTTGAGTTTGTAAATATCAAATTATTGATTTATATATGTATGTAGGAAACTAGGAATAAAGATGAAAATTACGATAAATCAGATTATCAGACGGTTGAACCGGTTAAAACGGTTGAACCATAAATCATTCATCATACCGGTTTAACTAAAAAACCAGTTTTTAAAACATTGTCTATGTTAACGATGATACTAGAACTGTCGATCTCAAAGAAGAAGACATCACTTGATATCGACTGAAATAAAGAAATTGATGTTTGCCATAGAATTCAAGAAAAATTATAAGATGGATTGAAAATTCAAAACTCATTGATTTTTTTTTTTTACATATAATCAAGATCTATAATATCAAAAGGGTCAGATAATGGGTCTCTCACAAATTTTCAATTGCAAAGATATGCTTTTCAAAACCCTACTCCCTTTTGTTGCTTTGTGTACCCTTTCTTGTCTTGTTGCCTTCCTTTTGCTCTCTTTTTCCCATTCTTTTACTTTTCTCTACAGATTTTCCAGTGGGCACCATTCTTTTCACCAGCTCCCATTAAAAAAACTCAATGATATCTAAATGAGTAGTAATATATATATATATATATATATATATATATATATATATATATATATATATATATATATATATATATATATATAATTCACTGAGATCTTCCTAAAGTGAACTCTAGGCTAGGCTTCTTAAGGCTGGTCTGTGAATGGCTTGATGAGCTTACTTCAGATGACCTCTCATTCTTCATGCCTTTTGAATTTATTTCCTTCTGCAAGAAGAAAGCTAGTCCAGGGTTACACCTTACATTTTTAATCCAGTTGTAATATATAAATATTAGTCGAAAGTGATTACAACACCATATAACTAACAAGTTTAGTTTGCAATTTGAATCTTTGTTGGTTAACCATATATATATGCAGCTCATTTCATCGTGTATACCGTATAATCTATTTGAATGTATCAAACTTCTATTGTATATTGTCTACTTATTGACGCTAAACAAAATTAATAACGTTTAATTGTGTTGAGAATGGGCATATACCCAATAAGTCTTAGTGGATCAACCATCTTTACAGCATGCAACTTAATTAACTTAAAGCGTTCCTACCATGAATTTGGCCATTAGGGTTTACATATACTATTCTTAATTTGGACAAGTGTCCCTTTTAAATTCACGTAGCCAAATTGATACAATTAAGGAAACTCATATGTCCGATACCACAAACTTCGAAAAGAGATCTTAGTCTTGTAGGATGTTACCTAGATTTGACGGAGGATGTTTTTTTTTCTTTGCTTTATGTTTCGCTTCCTTTAACTTGCTAAATTAAAGGACCTAACCTTTGCTTTTGCTTCTCATTTATTCTTCCACTTTATATGACAAGTTAACATGTATTTATATATTCCCATGCAAAGCATAAATATCACTATCAAACGTAGAGGGTATCCTATGTGGTAAATGTGGTTTCCGTATGATAATACCTCCTCAGAATTGTCTTTGAATACGTGTAGTATGCCATTCAGAAAATATCATAAAATTAAGAATACAAGTTCAAATGCATTAAATAGTTATTAAATTGTCTTTGAATCTAATATAAAATGCCTCTAAATAAAAGAACGGAAAACTTGAAATCAATGCTATCCACTATCATATAGTTAGCTATTTATTATTTTTAAAGTTAACTATTTATCATTTTACTATCATTACAAGTAATTAATGAACGGGTGCATATTCTTATCTTTTTTATTAGTTGAAAAGTATCATCATAAATGATCGTCAAACGACTGCATTAAATTTCACGAGACAGAGACATTTCACACTAGAAAGTATTCTAGCGTCTCGGGCTAAGAGAGCAATTATTTCGAAATATAAATGGAAATAGCATATATATATATATACGTACCTCAAGGGATAATATGCTCGATTCAAGATCTCCATGTTTAACTTGCATCAAAACTTCCCCACTACAGAAACCATGAAAAGAATAATTCCATCAGTTTAAAGCCCATACCAAAAGAAAAAGATGAGAAAAGCAAACCATGTATAGAAAGCTTTAATTCTTTCAATGCCTAGTTTTGTAGCTAGCTATAGCTTCTCACTTTTACCATTTTCTTTGAGATAAAAAGTTAAAACCAACCCATGTGAGGTCCCATTATACCCATGCCATGTACACAAGATGAAAAAGGGGGGAAACAAGAACAAGTATAATAAACACAAATGTATAGACAAAAGGTACAAAGGTGTTTCAAAGAGGGGAGGTTTTGACTTATAAACAATGGGGCCCTTCTTGAATGGTAATAGTTGATTGAAGGCCACATGATCAAAGGGAAGGGATATTTCTTAACATGCAACACGATAAGGGTAAATACACTTTTATTGTTTTATTTTAACCATAAAGCCCATCTTCCTGCCATTTGAAAGGTGGGTTTTATTTAAGAAGACGCAAAAAGCACATTTACGAGAATAGGACTTGTATTCTATGAATTCACATTCCTTCATGATAAACAGAATTAAGGATTACTTTAGTTCTCCCAAAAGACATGATTACCAATTTTTACTAATCTACAAAAGGCGCATGTTGAGAATAGTAGACAAGTAATGTTCAGATTACTGATGGTGAAAGATGATTGATAGTGGAAGTTGAATTGAAGGACAATGCAAAAGAACCCGCAAAAGAATTCCCCAATTATTCAGCAAGCATGTTTAATTTGTACATACAGCCACAAATGAACAGTGAAAATTGTCTGCGAAATTTACTACTCTAAGCTTGTTGTCCAAGCCCTCTAAATTTGTTAGGAATCATGGCATGTACCTCAGATACTTTTTGGATCATATATTTGTCATAAATAATTAAAGCTTACATTTTGCATTTCAAGAAACATTAATTTTAGTAGTAAAAATACATAATTATTAAAAGTTTCACCTTGATGAATTGCACCAACGACCAAAACAAAAATCTTTATCTTGATGAACACTAGACATTCCTCCATTTTTGGCTAATAACTCCATTCCGTGAGTCTGAATGCCAAGCATTATATCACCAGAATTGTCTCCTGATTTTCCATTCCCAAAGACTTCTGATTGTGCTAAGTAAAGATGAAAAATCGCATGATTCGAAGTTAATACAAAGCATCATGTATTAAATATACAAGACAAATAAGGGGCTTAATTAACCTGATGAAACCAATGCTTTATCAGTAGTCTTTACAGTTCTATACATCTGCAAAACAAGAATAACATAAATGTTATCTTTCTTAGAATCATAAAGATTAATTTATATTGTTGATTATCCGCTAACTTATCCCCAACAAACTCATCAATGATTTAACTCAATATACTTTAAATGGTACGACCAAATATTCATTTTATGTCCATATCTCTTTCATTTTATGCGAAATATAACCAAATTAAATATCTTCAAAGGTTTCGGATAAACTAGAAAAAAATAATCCTTATCATTTTTATCAGTTTTTATTTTTAAAGAAAAATATATAATAAAAAAATAGATATTTTTAAAAGAAATAGTGTGTGAACGTGCTTTATGCATTATAAAAAGGTGATATATATATATATATATATATATATATATATATATATATATATATATATATATGTGTGTGTAATGGTGCAAAAAGAAAGTACAGAATAAAAAAGAAGGGATCTATTGTAGGGTGGAATGGTGCATGTCTATACGAGTGAAAGACAATTCAATCAATGTACTACTAAACCATGGTCAAGATGTGGGGTTAAGAAACAGCATGTGATGCTACTAGACATATGTATACATATATCATTGAGAAATGATGGCCTTTTTTGTACTTTCCCATATCTCAAGTTCCCCTCTGAAAAGAGAGAATTATTAATGCTGTTATTCAATTCAATCCTAATAAATACACACAATTGCACAGTGGACTGTGTGTAAACTTGTCTTGGCTTCTAATAATATATCTCTTTGTTTTAAATTCATTAGGTTTTGTCTTCTTCTTCTTCTCTTTTCTTTCTCTCTCTCTCTCTCTATATATATATATATATATATATATATATATATATATATATATATATATATATATATATATATATATATATATATATATATATATAAAAGAAAAAGTAATATTATAAAAAAACATGTGTCATGTAAAGCAAAAAAAGCTGATTTTTAAAGCTGTAACACTGCAGAGCCATCAGATCTTGTAGGAAGAGAAGAAGAAGAAGAAAAGAAGAACAAGGTTGCGTTCAAAAGATTGGAGATCGGTCTCTGCATGGGAAATTTCAGTATGATTTTGAATTTATTTTAAAATATTTATTTGTTTTTTTCTGAAAATAAGAAGTTATTCTCAGACTCTAAAAGTCAAAAGTCAATACCAATAAAAAGATATCTGTCCCTGGGCCTCATATATATTGATGACTTATATATATATATATATATATATATATATATATATATATATATATATATATATATATATATATATATATATATATATATATATATTCAAAGAGGATGAATCATGAAAAACTAAGATCTATGTTGAGAACATTTGCTTCGATACGTAATCTAAATAAGGCATTGCCTTTTCTTAAAGAACGAATATGTTTTAGAACTACCCAAGAAAAAACACTTGAGTCTAAAAAAATCTGATCGAAAAATAGTAGTCTTCAGTTGTCTGGCTACAGCGTTGTACATGTTAGCTAGCTTTACGGGAAGGAGTGTTTGCGAATGTTGCATTAGCTAAAAATACTAATACCAGTTAGATTAGACTTAAAACCTCACTTGAAATAATTCGAAAAAATGGGAAGCAAGTTTACCTGTAAGTGAGATTTGACATGGGCTAACGTCAGGTCCTTTACATCCATTAGCTCAAGAACTGACTTAGGCGTTGCTCCTATGTTCATTACAAAAGCATATCCGAAAACGAAAGTAATTAAGAAAGCCAAAAGAACCAATTGATGGATAAAATTTTGTCTTAAATTCCGTAGAAATGAATATAGCAAAATTAGAGATCAACATACTTTCATGTCCACCCAAGAGCTCAACAGCATGGACAAAGCGAGCATGGAGGGTCGTCGTCCATCGCATCCTCGGAGCTCTCATGCTACGCTTTGCGGGAAACCTCGAAGACAATAATCTTGTTCGCGGAATATCATTAAAATTACTGCCATGAGTTAAAGAAGAAGAGCTACTAGAAGTAGCAACAGTGCAAGAATCTAATGAAGGCTGGTTATTTTGGTGATGATGATGATATTGAGCTGGTATCTGTAAATTGGGTTGGGTAGTTTGGTAAAAAATAGGAATTCCTTTTATGGGTTTCAATAACCCTTCCTGTAAGCTTAGTCCCTGGTGATGGTGATAAAGATTTGTTGTGATTGTGTTCTGGTTGAGGCCGGATTCATTAGAATGGGTTGGATATGGTTCGTAGAGGTCGAAAGAGGATTGAGATCTTGTTGTTGAGTCATGGAGGTGGGTTTGGGAGTTTAAAGCTCTCGTCCAGAAATGACCTAAATCAAAATCATGATCTTGATCAGTTGGATTTGATGTTCTCCAACTTATTGAAGTGGGTTGGGTGTTGGGTGGGCTGATTCGAAGAGATAAGTCTGGTTGTGAAGGAAAGAACTCCATTTTCACTTGCAAAACACTCAACTTTCTCTCTTTGTCTTGTTGCTCCAATCTTTTAAAGTATAATCAAGATTTCTTGCGAGGGTTTTGTGGTTTAATGGAGAAAGATGGAGATAGAGAGTATGAAGTGAAGGGAATGGTTTGTATATGGTATATGAAGTATATGTGTGAAAATGACACTTGAAGAGACCTAGGGAGAGAGTTGGGGTGGGGTAGAGTGGGGAGGGGGCCAAAATTTCTTTATGTGGACGTGGGGGTAGGAAAGAAAGCGAGGAAAAGGATGAAAAGTAAAAAAGTGAATAAGTTTGAGACTTGATTCCTTTACCATCTTTAACTTTTTCTTCTTAAGTTTTAGGTTTAACTTTATAATATATCCTAAAGTATTGCATACAATATCCGAAATCTAAGGAAATTAATGAAATAATTCAGATCCTATTATATATATATATATATATATATATATATATATATATATATATATATATATATATATAGAGAGAGAGAGAGAGAGAGAGAGAGAGAGAGGTAAGTTTAAATATAGATTAACAAATATTGTGTGGATGTAGGGATTAATATGGATCAAGTATTATTTAATTTTAATAATTAATTAATTAAACCATCTATCCTTTAATTTAGGCAATTACTTTGTTTAAAACCCTATTGCGTCTTTCATCCACATTCACAATATCCTTCTATTCTTGTTCAATCGACGTGTGATGAAGGATTCTGTGAGATTAAATGATCAAACTCACCAAATTCCTAAACAATAATGGATCTCCATTCACTATCAACATCTACCCCTTCATAAGCCTCTACATCGACTCCAATTTTTCGATGTAATACGCGTTCTTCGATGGAAATGCAACTTTGGTGAACGACGACGGCACCACCTACGCAAATATACGATACCCTCGTCTGGGCCATACAAAAGAATCGATTCACAAATATGAGAATCATAGTGGGTGAAATTGGGTGTTTGAGTGATGGAGATCGATACGCGAATAATCAATTAGCTCAAAGGTTTATGCAAGGATTCTGCGAGATGCCCTTAATACAATGAGAAGGAACGAATTTTCTTCCACCTGCTCGAATTTTCATCGCCAATACCCTACGGTATGATGTCCCACACTGTCCCTCTCCTTCTTTCTCACATATACACGTTCTCATCGATTCCAATACGCAATCGATTCCCCCATTCAGTTTTGATTTGAAATTCAAATAGGTTTCCATAACTGTTGTTCCTTTTTTCATTATCAATCTTATATGCAATTGCTAATAAGATTTAATTCATATGTGGAATTCTTATTATTGGAAATTAGTAAATGGTAAGGGTCATTTCAGTATGCCTTACAAGTGTTCGATGTAATGCCAAAGAATAATTTTCAACAAAATTTGGTGTTCCCGCTTTTGCAGGCAAAGGGTATTATGGTATGAAAGTACATAAAGTTGTTATTGCTTATGGAGCTAGGTAATGAATGTTATTAACCTCTTTACAATCTTTCTTTTTGCTGTATTCTGCCTCATATGATCTCTTATGTATTTTTGTTTTTCTATTATTTGAGAAGATATTCGGGTCCCATGATCCATTTTGTTGATGAGAGCTATGACACGGGTCAAATTCTGACCTAAAGAATCGTTCCTGTGGTTGTTAATGACAATGCTGAAGAACTTACTGCAAGGGTTCTTCACCAGGTAGTGAATTTTACATTGATTGGAATCAAGTTTATGCCTTTTGCAATCTTTTTTGTAATCTTTAATACATAGTTTGTTAGGAACATAAAATGTATGCTGAGGTGGCAACTGCAATATGTGAAGAACGTGTGATTTGGAGAGAAGATGGTGTTCCTATCATAAGAAGTTGCAAAATTTGTACAACTTCTTTTGATTTATTTCTGTGACAACTTGAAATTTTCTACCCTGTACAGTCAAACACTTCATTGAAAGTCAAACTCATTTCTGCTATCATTTAGCATAATTTAGAGTCTGTTTGAGCGTTCTGAGCCTTGTACACTTAAGGGATAAGTATTGGGGTTTATCTGCTGAAGCTATAGTACAAAGATCGGGCCTAAAACACCTTGACCATGAGTTCACGGCCACCACACTGGAGTTTATGGCCGTAAACTCCATGTGGGCCGTAAACTCACACTATATGATCAAGTGTTGGCCATTTGTTTTATTCTTTCCATTCCTTGGCTGATTTTACTTCAAATCCTCTCAACTATCATTTCGATCTTCTCCCTAGATCTTCAAAACTAGTAAGTATCCTTCCTAGAATTGTTGATACATCTCTTAATCTAGTATCCTTACATGAATTCATCCATACAAATCATGTTTTCATAGATCATCAAGTTTCACCAAGAACACCAAGAGCACACACTAGTGTTCTTGGCCAAAACCAACCAGTTCAAGCTCCTATATCGTAAGCACTCTTGTTCTAATTGGTTATACACCAGATTAAACATGTTTAGGCCTTAGAATCATCATGGATTAAGGGTTGGATGAGATTTTACGTCCAAGGATCTCCCAAGACCGTAAACTCCCTTTAAGGGTGCATTGAAGCCCTAAATTCCTTCCTTATGCTTAGAACTTGGATTAGAACCTTCCACCAATGAACTAGGGACATTAAACTCTGTGTTGGTACTCAATACCATGAGTTTACGGCCGTAAACTCATGGAGGAATGGTCCTTTGGCCGTAAACTCATGTTAAGGTTAAGTCTTGGACCGTAAACTCATATAGACCCTTGTTTAACCTTGGAACACTTAAACACTTGAGACTCCATACCTTTAAGCCTCTAAATATGGTTTCTCAAAACGTTTTTACATACTAAACTCTTTATCAAACTGTCTTACATACTATATCTTTCCTTTCAAACTCTGTTATAACTACGTTTCAAACAAAGGTTTTCATGTACTTCAAGCTGTGTTTCAAACAAAGGATTCTTGTACTTTAAACTGTTCTTATCAAACAAATTGCTTTTAAATCATTTTATAAACTGACATCAAGTCATCAATTCTTATTTATTAAACTTGTCAAAGGTTTTACAAAACTTCTTTTAAACTTTTATATTGTCAAATGCATGCCTATATATTATGTATACATATATAGACATAAAGGCTCTATCAGTCAATTCAGTACCTTTGGGTAGCAAAGGCATACTTTCGGTTATACACGTACATTAGTAGTAACTATAATAGGTATAGTTAGGAGATTCTACTTACTATTCCTAGTACAAGGAATCACACAAGAGTTAGTTCATTCATGAGTCTATTTAAATATATTACATTCTATATGAAGAGATACTATTACATTCTATATGAAGAGATACTATTACATACTATATGAAGAGATACTAATAAATACTATATGAATAGATATTATTATATACGTTACGGGACTTACCATTCTACACCCGGCTGTTAGCTACAGTAGGAAAATGCACATCGACGGATGTCTACGGTTGAACTATTCGGCGAGTTACTATGCCGTGTTTATCCTAGACAAATGGATACGATTTCTTATTATCTTTATTTTGTGACACATTCACATAAACGATTTCTTATTATCTTTATTTTGTGACAGATTCACATAAACGATTTCAATGATTGTATAATTTTCCCTATTATCTTTATTTTGTGACACATTCACATAAACGATGAGGTAGACTATATTTTGATAATAATAGTTGTACATGGGGAAAAACCTTCATTCATACGGACAAGCAAACCTCCAACACTGTCGGGTCTTGGTAAAAGACTACATTTTATACTAGTAGGAAATATGGGATTTTCTAGGGCTTTCATACTTATACGAACTTTTTCATCAAACATTTATAAGTCTTTTCTTTACAGTTTTACAAATCAAAGACACTAAAATACTTATGAATTCACCAGATTAAATGCTAATCTATGCTTTCAAAATAACTTGTATTCTCAGGTCATCAGTAGACAGGTACCAATGCCAACTTTTAAGAAGATGGAGCACATACAAGACTTGTCTTTTATTTTGATTTATATTTTGGTGTCTTATAAACCACAGAACACACATGTATTAAAACTTTACTATTAATGCAATGGATGATGTTGTAGCTTGTTTACTAGTTTGCATTGTTATGATACTTTACATGACGTCCTCCGCCCTAGAACATTTCCGCCGTTTTTGGTTTTGGGGTGTGACAGATTGGTATCAGAGCTTTGTTTATAGTGAATCAAGTATATCAACCCATAAAAGATATATAGACTACAAATACAATAGGATTAAAATACGCTGACGAAGAGTTTATACTTTTAAATAATAAAATATTTAACTAAGTATATATACCTGCATTGTAACGACCCAATTTTCAAGTCTGAAAATTTCGTTTTAAACATTACTTTAGAAAACATTAACAATTAAAAACATTGTTTTATCACACAATAACACAACGTAAACCATGTTTAAAAAGCCAAACCATACAATCCATCAAAATATCAGAGTACAAATCCCAGTGAATCTCGTAAATGCGGAAACTGGAGTGTGTGCTTGATGTGCCGCTACCGCGCCAGCTCCTTCCCCTTCAAAGAAGAGGTACCTGAAACCAAAACTGTAAAACGTAAGCACAAAGCTTAGTGAGTTCCCCCACTGTACCACATGCCACATAATCACATAACATACGTAAATTTTTCAGGAAAAAATCTGGGTGCCCGACCTACCCCTTCGGTCCTTTCGACCGGATACTGCCTAGCATATTTGGGTGCTGGCCTCCCCTTCGGTCCTTTCGACCGGATACTGCCTAGCATATCTGGGTGCTGGCCTCCCCTTCGGTCCTCTAGACCGGATACTGGGGACTATTTCACCCCCTACTACTACCACATAACACATATATCACATAGTCTATCTAGCATGACTGGGCATGAGCGCCCCTTCGGCCCTATCGACCAGTATTCTGGGGGACTATCTCCCCCTACTGTCACTAACACATAACATAACACAGTAGTAGCAACCCTAGATGAATATCACAAAGAC